TCTAATAGATAAACTAAAAATTACACAGAGTCAAAAATGTAAAAAATGTAAAATTCTAAAAAAAAAAAAAAAATAACAAGCATACGCTTTCCTAAAAAGATGAGTTTTCACTAAGGACTTAAAAACGTCCATTGTATCTCCAAAAGTTGGGAGAAAACAGTCTGTTTTAAGGAATAGTGCGTCAAAAAGAAAGAAAGGTTTTAGGGGAACCCAGAAACAGGAGGTAGCGCAGAAGAGAAGGAAAGAAACGCGAGCTGTAGAAGTGACCTTTGTTGGTGAAGACGATGTTGTCAGCGAGCAAATTCCACCCCCCGCAGAATCTGTTTCCAAACGGAAAATACAGCCAAACCACGATGGAAGCTCCTCGAATGAAACTGCTGAAGATGATCTGGCCCCCCTTGACTTTATGCCAAGTGCAGTGGTTGCGGTATGTCCGAGTTGCTTGCAACTGGTAACCACCCTCAAGATGATGTTAATCCAAGAACTCTTCAGGGAAAAGTTGTGAACAGAAGAATGGTGTTGGCTGCATTTGAGAGTGGCATTGGAAAAGAAGGAGTTGCCAAATTTTGCGAGGTCTTCATTATGCCTTTTAATATTTCACCTGACACCTGGTACAGCCATGAAGAGATCCTTAGTCAAGCCTTCCAAGAGGAAACAAGTGAACAGCTACAAAAGAAATGTGCAGAAGCTAGAAAGCTTGCCATGCTTGCGGAAGCTCTTAATGATGATGATGATGATGTGACTATTGTAGATATTCCCATTAGCTTTGATGGTACATGGTCAAAGCGTGGCTACACTGCTAACCACTGTATTGGCTTTGTGATATCTGCAGCTACAGGAAGGGTTCTGGATTTTGAAGTAATTTCCAAGGTGTGTCAGCAATGTACTCAAATGAAGGCAAAACTTGATGAGGCAGGTTTTAATGACTGGTATCAAGACCATATCTGTGAAGGGTCCTACAAAGGATCCAGCCCTAGCATGGAAATGGAATGTGCAAAGAGGCTTTGGGGGCGGAGTGAGAACAATTATGTCAGATACAAATGGATGATTTGTGATGGTGACTCTAAATCATACAATACTATATGGAGTGTGTATGGTGCATGTGACACTTGTCACAAGTATGAAGCGATGGAACAATCTGACAAAGAACTCATTGCATGGAAAAACTCTCAAGAGCACAAGACATGGGAAGAAGACCATCTTCAAGGAAAGGCAGAGTGTGAGAGAGTGATAAAATTGGACTGTATTGGGCATGTCCAAAAGAGGCTTGGAAAGGCCCTTTATGAGTTTCAAAGTTCCTGCACTAAGCTGTCTGATGGCAAACCAATGAAAGGTAGAGATGGGCGACTAACTAAGAAAGCTATTGAAAAACTGAAAAAAAAAGACTATGGAAAAGCTGTGCGAAACAATGTAAACAGAAACATAGCTTCGACGAGTGAGAGAGACAGTGCAGTAAAAAGATGCAAGTGGAGATAAAAGCTGGCCTGTATCACTGCCTAAAAATTTCAAACCAAGAAAGGCACAAATACTGTCCAGTTAATTCATGGTGCAAGTTCAAAAAAGGATTGCCTTGTCCAAACAAGCCACATCACCTGGATGGCGTTTTCAAGGAACCACTTGAAAAAATCTATGATCGTTTGAGTGAGCCAGCACTCCTCATCAGATGCTTGCCTGGATACATCCAGAATGCAAATGAGTCTGTCAATGCATTGGCATGGAACAAGTGTCCCAAGCATAAGTGGCATGGAAGAAATCGAATTGTCATGGCTGCATCCTCTGCCGCTTTGCACTTCATTTGTGGTGCAACAAAAAAGTTTGATGTCATGAGGAAAGCTGAAATCTCACCTGGCAAGCACAGTTGGAAGGAAGCAAGACGAAGAGACAGTGGAAGAATTCTGCAAGCAGAGCACAGAGATCAAGAAAAACACAAACAATATAGACTTGTACGAAGACAAGCTAAGCAGAGAGAAGAAGACTTGCGTGTAACCCGGGAAGGCATAACCTATGAAGCTGGAGGTTTTGACGAAACACAGCTGTGCAGAATGGGTAAAAAGAGAAAGAACCAAAGAACCTAAGCATACCTTCAAGTAGGTGTGCTGTTATGCATCAAAGGCCATTTTAGGGAGTCATTAGTCTTACGAGTGACATTTAGATAAAATTTAAGTTTCAATTGCATTTTTCTGAAAATAGCTTTTTTCTCAGTATTTTTGTTGGCCCCTCCTATTTCTCAAAGAGTATTTCAGCTATTGTCACCAAATTTGGTACAAAGATTGTTTATATAATTGTCTGCAACCTAATTGAGCAAAATTTCTGTTTTTGAAATGCAACTGGTTTTATAAGTAATTTGTCTTTTGCAAAATCTAATTTTTTACCATCACAACCAAAATTGTCAAAAGGTGATAACTCTCAAGGTTGCAGTCCATTGCATACTGCTTTATTGTACCAAAGATTAGGTGATTATTTTAAAAGGAAATGACAAAAAAGTGAGGGGCCCCGATTTAGCCCCATAAATAGCCCCTCACAGTATCTTGTTAATTATTAACCTAAAATAAAAAATATGGTAACTCTAAATATGTCATGTGGTAAGTAGTTGCCTGGGTGTACTTCTTACCAAGTTTGAGCGGATTTGATTGAATTGTTGATTAAATATGATTCTTTAAGTAAGCTACCAAAATCTTACCATGAACCAAGACTTCCTGTACAACAAACGATTACTGGGTTTTCTCCTTCTGATTCCACGCTTTCGATAAATTAAATTGTTGCAGACAATCGAAAGTCATGTCGCAGACCAACTTCACTCGCCGCTGCGTCCCATTAGTCGGTCCACGGCTGTATCGAGGAAACCCTTTTAAACTCTCTTTACATATTCATAGTTTAAAAAATATCCGTCAAAGGTAGGTCGTTGACTGGAGAACCTTAATAGTTTCTCAAGTATTTTCCCTTAGAACTTCCTCCGGAAAGCTAAGTTTAAAGCTGATCGTCTTGTATTAAATACGAGTTCAAAGATATGTTTCAGGAAAATAACCAAGCTTTTGACCGGGCAAAACAAACCACCCTTAACGATATATGCCCAACAAAACCGGCAGAACTAGTCTGCGAAGCAGGACGTAAAACATATGAGTCACATATGTTTTCTTACCTCGATTTTCGCTTCCGTGTTGTCATAAAAGTAATTCTGCCTTCGAAATCCATCGCTAAAGGAAGTTATTGACAAAATTATAAACCTTGTATACCCTTAGTGAGGAATAATATTTTAATGAAAAAATAAACTACTGATAAAAAATAATGATGAAAATAACAATAATATAGCCTGCGAATTTAATGCAGCCGCTCTCTCCTTGTTCCTTGCTGCTAGAGGCGTTTCACCAGGAGGAACGTATACGCCTCGGCGACAGAAGTTTCATACTAACGACGTAAATAAATATCTAAATTTGAATGAAGCGATGGTAAATTAACCCGAGAAAAATCTCGGGACTTCTACGTGATTCCAACTCATGGCCTCTACGTTAGCGCTGCAGTGCTCTACCAATTAAGCTATGAAGGCCCATACATTGAGAGCAGACCAATTTGCCGTGCTCATCCAAAAACGTGAAAGAAATGAAACATGAAGATGATGTGACCTGCGCAAATACAAATATAAATGAAGGTATGATCGTCGCAGTGGTAATTGTTCGCATAATAAATCAAGTAGTCATGGAGTTCCAAATGTCAATTTGTTTGAGTTTATGTTTTTCCTGGTCGATTATGGTAATGTCTTGGGTTTTACTGCGAACGAGCTCCAGCAAAATTCAAATTCTTTTTCTAAAGAAGAACATATTCCAGGAATATTGACTGTTTTGCAGTAGATTCATCACGTTTCATCGTTTACATTTGGCCTTTGGGGCTTTTTTTTTTTCATTTGTATGTCATTTGTAAACAAGATTACTCGGAACCCCCATATGTTCTGTATGCTTTCCCGCGAAATTAATGTGTTTTCGAGGGCGTCCGCATATTTCTGTAGTGAGAAAAAAATGGCGGCGAAAGAGGGAAATTGGCCAACAAGTTTACTCCTTGTTCCTTCACCGTAGCTCCTACCTCCGTTCCTTCCCTTACAACCGAGGAAAGCTCGTTTCGAGTCAATATAAATAATATGTAATCTGGCTTAAAAATATTGCTATATTTTGTTGTTGCAACGCACGATGTCGTGTTTGCTGTTGCAGCACTGTTCGAATGTTTAACTTTTGCTCGTAATGTATTCCATCGCCCTTATTTAAGAGGAGCTTTTCAAAGAATTAAAAAGTGAAACTCTTTGTGGGAGAGCCAGACTTTTTAAAAGGGAATTGGAGTGCTTACGGTAAGGTCTCTGTAATGGCTCATCGTGTAACCGGCAAATCGGAGGCAATTTTGCGCCTTCCGCGGTAGTAGAAACTGTCGTGTCTTCGGTGTCTTATCCACCGCAACCTGGGACAGCGAAAATCAAGATGTTTTCTCATGATTTTGAAGCATTTCCTTTAAAGAAGCAGAACGTCGAAGTGAAGAAAGGTATCGGTTTGATGGTGCTATGTAAGTTATTATTTAGTTGTCACAAGAGATGAAAGCTACCAAAACCCTTTGAGTGCAGAATTATCAAACTCAGGAAGAAATTAAACACTGTTTGGCAATCACACTATTTCTCAAGATGCTACAAGATTTCATAACCGCAGCATATACTTGTAGACCTCAAATAACCGCAAAAGGAATATGCAGGAGGACGTGACATGCCGAAACATCTAACTTCCCATGTGAAACCTCTGAGAACCTTTCTTTAATCTTTTGAAGTCGCTAGCCCCATCGGCTCGCTCCTTTTTTAATTTTATGACTGCCTGTTATTTTCCTTGTTTACATGTTACTTAGTTTCTTAGTAGCCTCAGAAAAATACCAGACTCAGTAGATTCTGTATCGACAGTTAATTGTTGTATTGTGTGAATGAAACCCTCAGTATGTTTGGTACACAACCACACAACAGTAAGTTTCGCTTTTAATTCGATTTCATTCCTGTTGAACATCTCGTTTGTTTTGTTTGATATGTCCTCTTGAAATATTTGCCGTTGAGATTGTATGTTATCAAAAGCCGTTTTCATCCACAGCCACATTAATAATAATTTGCGACCTCAGATCTCGCACAATTACAGCCGCCGCGCAAGCGAAAGATGCAGTCCGTGTTCGATCTGTAACACAGTTGGTACAACATATTTTTTACTTCAAAATTAACTGTGGGTTGATGCAGTGTGGTCTTTTGTGGAATTAGTAAAAAGCTCCAAAGTAGTGCACAAGTGAGTTAACAAGTAAAGTAAAGTACTCCCGAACTAAACAGCTTGATTTTCAATATTTATTTACCCGCTGTCGAGGGTCGGGACTGGGTTGTTCGTGATAAAACTTATGATATGAAGCCAACTGTCAAGATTACAAGTAAACTTGAAGACGTTGCATGAGTGCATCACTTTTTTCTTTTTGTTATTAGGCTTAAAGCGGATATTTTTTAACCCGATAGAAGATCAGAACTATTATCAGATAACTCTTCCACGCTGTCTACCGCCATTGTTGGTAGCAATTCAAATCGCGCTTCTGTGACTCAGCGTGTGACGTATGATCATAGCTCTGCTCTGATTGGATATTACTGAGAAGGCGTGAAAAATATTCCGCGAAAGCTATTTCTATAAATAATTTTTCGTCGGAAAGGGTTGACTCCAAGGGCTTATATGAGAGATGGAGGCAAGTAATCGGCTCCTGGTCCAGATTCCGGACAGATATTACGTCATCAGTGCGGAATTTCTGTTGATGCTCAACAAATTCTTGGAGGCGTCGAAGGCCTTCAATCTGACCATCAGCCTCAGCAAAACCGAGGCACTGTACCAGCCTGCTCCAGACACCACATCCGTAGAGCCAAACATGAGCATCGATGACACGCCGTTGGCAAATGCCGACAGCTTCAACTACCTCGCCTGGACAGTACCATCTTAAACGACGGATCCCTGATAAAGAAATCACGTCCAGGTTCAGAAAAAACAGCCAAGCGCTAGGGAGGCTGCGCACAAAGGTTCTCAATCACCATTACATTTGCCTCTCTACGAAGGGGAAAGTCTACAGAGCTATAGTCTTGACCGCTCTGCAGTGTGAATGCGAGACTTGGACACGGTACCGAAGGCGTGTCAAACAGCTAGAGACCTTTCACATGTGTGCCCTCTGTTCCATACTTGGCATGCACTGGCAAGACCGCATCAAAAACCTCGAGGTCCTGGACCGTGCAGAATGTACCAGCATTGAGGCCCTACTCATCAAGCCCAGCTGCGATGGGTGGGACAAATCATCAGAATGGACGATCCTCGCATGCCCCGTCAGCTACTGTATGGAGAGCTTGTGCGCGTTGCAAGGACACTGTGAAGGGGAACCTTCAGTGGTGCGGCATCCAGCTGAAAGAACTTGAGGCTGCAGACAGTGACAGAAGTCAATGGTGCTCACCGACCCTCACAGCTTCCACCAGTTTTGAGGACGATCGCCGTCAAAGACTCACGGCAGCAGCCTATGAACGACACCAAAGGGCATTCTCTGCTGACATCACAACAACGGAGCTCCAATGCCCCACCTGCTCCAGACTCTGCGCTTCCAGATTGGGTTTGCACAGCCACCAGAGAATCCATGGATGATCACACAACACGCAGTCCACGACACACAGTCTTCTTCGGACATGATGGACAACCACCAAACAAGCACGTTTAAAAGAGGAGTTCTTTCGAAAGAGTTGCGCCACATTTTATCGTCGCGCACTTCTTTCGCTAGCAAAAAAGAAATAAGTAATGTGACCTCTCTAGAACTACAATGTAAACGCCACACACTTGTCCAAGAACATGTATCGGAAATAATGGTGTATATTGTTCTATATTTTCTTTTATTAGCTCCTTTTGGCAATTTATATAAATAGAGTGGTTGTATGCAAGCTACTGGTTTAACCAAGTCTTTTTGTTTTTGGTAGATTCAATAGTCTTTCCACAGTTGTCGATGTTCTTCTGCCACGAGGCGCTGATCCCTCCCTGAGATGGAAAAATGGGAACACCCCACTTCACTTAGCAGCGCGAGGAGGACATGAAGAGATTGTTAAAGTTCTTTTGGATCAACCTTCCGTTGAGGCTGACGCTAAAGATAATTCTGGAAAAACTGCTCTGCATTTTGCCTGCAGCGAAGGTCACGGAAAGGTTTGTCAAATCTTGTTGAACTTCGGAGCGGACATAAAAGCGAATTCAGCGGACAAGACAACTCCGCTTCATAGTGCCATTCTGAATGGACATTCAGAGGTTGCGAGGATGATTTTGAAGCGAGGTTAGAGGTTATTGATTTAACAGTAATTGCAGTAACTCCTTTAGAGTGTAAACAGTCCGATCCTAAATTATCTATTATTTATTGAACGATTCCCTCTGGGTCATTAAATTTAGGTCTTCTTAACGAGTTAGTCATATAAATCTGGAAGCGTCTCACTGTGATACAAGTCCTCTGTGAAATTCTGGTGAGGGCAGATAAATACTGACTGTTAATTTGCTAGATAGCACACATTTCATTTAGACACTCAATTATGCATTACTAACAATTTTATGTAGAAATTGCCTGATCGTATCTACCTGCTTAACTGACGGTATGAGAATAGGTTTGTGTTTTGTCCGCAGCGCGTACACTGTAGCTAGCCACGACATTTCAGTTTCGGCTGCATGCTGGGGGATCTCAGTTTGACTCGTTCCCATTTCTCTCCCTGCTTTAGTATCCCCTCACAAAAAAAAAAACAGCAATAGCACTCACAGGAAAGAAGCAGTCGCGCAGATAAATCTCGCCACCTTCCTAGGCTAGTAAAAGTAGTGAGATTGTGGAGAGGACAGCGCCTGGGGACTACACCACTAAAGGTCGTCTTTGGTCGTAATAATGGGGTGATTGTATGGCTAAGGTGCATTATGTAAGTGAGTTCTCCTCTTAACTTGCTATCAATGTTGTTGTACTTTACAGCTGTCGACAGAGATACTAACGCGAAAGAACTTTTGGGAACTTGTGACTTACAGGACAACACAGTCTTACACATGGCCACACGAAATAATGACGTCAAAACTGCTGAGTTATGCCTTGAGAAAGGCGCTGATGTCGACTGTCTTAAGTGTGGCTCGGTCACCGCCCTTCACATGACGGCAACGAAAGGGAATCTTGAAGTAGCGGACTTGCTTATTTCAAGAGGTGCTGATGTGAACAAGAAAGACGGGGACTCCAAAACACCTCTCCACAGGTTAATTTAAATTGCATTGAATAGTGCTTGTTCAGACTAAGCAATACTGAGTACTTTAAGTGTTGAATGGACGTTCCATAGAATTTGCCCACAGTCTAGAAAAATGCTAAACTAGAAACATATAGGTGGTAACGTTGTAAGTGACCTAAATGTTTGTCAGGTAGTCCCATGTGGAACACAACGAACAAACGCAAATTCCCCTTCTAGGTCTCAAGAAAATGATTATTTAATCAGTGAAGAACATTCTTGTTTCCAGATGCAAGTCGGTTCGCTCATCAATGTTCCTAGTTTTGCGGGACCTTAAAAGTATATCCATGTTGTCTTGTTAATTATCAGTCTGGAAGTGAAAAAGAAGAAAAACAGCGTTCCTTAAATGTTATGCTTCAATCACTTAACAAACCTTTTGCTTCTCGTTCTCATGTAGGGCCGCTACGTTTAACCAGTTAAACGTAATTGAATTTCTTGTGAAAAAGGAGGCAAAAATTAATGTTCGTGACAGCGAAGGACGTTCTCCGTTCTTGAATGCTGTTGCTGCTGGGCACGTGGACTGCGCCCGAGTTCTTCTCAAACTTGGAGCTGATTTGAGCGCAGCGGACTTGCATATGAAAACCTGTCTTCATATTGCAGTAGAGAACGAGCTCTTAGAGATGCTATCAATGCTTTTGGAAAGTCGTCTGGGGGTAAGCTGTTTAAACAGAAGAGATTTGAAGGATAGAGTTCCTCTGCACTACGCGGCGAAGACGAGAGACATCAAGGTAACTTTGGAACGGAACTGTTAAAAAGCAATTGAACAGTACTTTTTTATCAAGGCCAGAAAACTTGATATGACGGCACACATAGAAGAGACTATAATACAGTCGAACCTCTATAGATGGGCATTTATAAGCGACCATCATCTGTTTCCTCTCCATTTACCTTATTCCGGGCGGAGAAAAGTTTAAGTAAATCACTGTAAACAGTATCCCAATAAAGCAGCCTCCTGTTCTTTCTTCGAGGTTAACCGCTCAATAGAGATATCTCTAATAGAGGTTCGCCGTACTTTGTTAAAGGCAGAACGCGATATTCGTTCAAAAGAATTCTTTTCCCCGGCTCACTGGTTAGTTAAGTCACAGCTATCTTCCAAATGTACACCTTCTCGACATCAGGGTAGGTAGTCGTTTGCAACTGGAGGCGGTTGACAGGAATGCCATGTATGTGATAGGGAGCCTACATCAGTTACTTTCTAAGACGGACATTCTTAGGAATGAATAACGGCATGGGCCATGTTTACAGCTTCAAGGTGTGAGGAAGAGTTAATGTATTTTAAAGCAGTCAAACTTACTCTCTTTCAAGTGGCCTCCCTTGAAGAAGGAACAAGTGTCCTCTCTATTAGCTGTTTTGTGTTAAGTGGTGTACCTACACCGATACTCTAGGAGCTTACTGATAGATGGCAGCTTGACCCTTTAAGCCCTAGTATCAGCATGCGTAATCTCTTTATACATTCTCATGGTACTGCTCGAGAAAATTTGTTCAAACATTAAGATATTTTACTTGTAGTGATTATTTCGTTCATTCTCGTGACCTGTAGTGTTGTTGTTGGGAGAAATTGGAACTGGTCACTATTGAAGGTTAAAGAATTAATGACAGGCCGCTTAATAGAGATTCGGCTGTAGTGTAGGAGTTCAATAAATGACACTGACTCTGGCATACGGATTCATCTTTTTAGATTTTAGAGCTCGTCTTATCCAAGCAGAAGCGCTTGCGCTTCAACGATGAGAGTAACAAGACACCACTTCACCTTGCAGCAGAAAAGGCCTCATCCAAACACGTTGAAGCTCTGGCAAAGCGCATGTCTGAAATAAATGCGCGAGACGATCTTGGCCGAACACCATTGCACAGCGCTGCAAGGAAAGGGCAGAGGCAAGAGATATATTCTAGAATATTCTTTTTTCCCCCACAATTATCGCTGTTTTTCCATTATGGGTGAAAGCGATCTTTGCTACTTGTTTAGATGCAGAATCGATCGTAGATCAAAGATGTCCTCACAAGCAAGCAATAGTGACGTAAGACTTCGAAACTCGAACCTTACATTTTGTATGACTGTCAAATCGTCCTTTTCTTTTGAAAGAGTAAATCTGTCTGAGTTTACAAAAAAGGTAAGAGTGCATGACTGTAAATATCGCGAATCGCTGGCCAGGCTAAAAAAATCGAAAATTCTGATAACCTGTCAGAAAAACTCCTTTGGGGAACTATCTTCGAAAAAAATAGTTTTAACTTTCAAGAATATATAGTTTTGGAAAAAAGGAGGAAAAACGAAAATAGAGGTTTTTATCTAATTAATTATGCAAAAATTAGAGTAAAAATGGCCTACTTTATCGCGTCTGTACCGAGGCAAGATTCAAAGCTATAAAACAGAAATATTTTTGTTTAAAATCATTCTATCTTTTCTTTCTATCCATAGTATGTTTTAAACCATAAACACGATTTTGAATTTTTTATGTTTTTTTAAAAACTACCATCAAAGGCAATTTTTAAAATGGGTAACTGAAAAGTGGACAACTTCAGAGGCAAAAAAACTCACCTTGGTATGTGCGATACCTAGCCAAAATGTATACTAGGACAAAGTTCAGCTCAGAATTTTCGATTTTTTTAGCCTGGCCAGCGATTCTCGATATTTACAGTCATGCACTCTTAATTAGATAAAAACCGCTATTTTCGTTTTTCCTCATTTTGTCGAAAACTATAGATTCTTGAAGGTTAAAACTATTTTTATCGAAGATAGTTCCTCAAAGGGGTTTTTCTGACAAATTATCAGAATTTTCGATTTTTTTAGCCTGGCCAGCGATTCTCGACATTTGCAGTCATGGGCTCTTAACAATTTGACCCTAGTCGCTAGTTAGGGCTTAAAACGGATAAATTAATCGCTGGAAACAAAGCGACCGATTTGTAACAGACTTAGAATCCATATTTCCTGACCCCACAATCGGCTGTCTAAGACAAAATTACTTCAACTAAACACTCACAAAGCGTTAAATGCTTGTACACGATATTCTTATAACACGAGCGCCACGACATACCTGAAATCTGTCTGTCAACAACTTCAGGAAATCACACAATTAACCACGTTTGCGGCACTGATAAAACTATCCACAACCAACCAGGCACAATGTTTCCACACTTAATACAGGCGAAATATCATCAAACTGCTCTCTCTCAATAACTCAAGATCCCGGATGTAGAACAGCCGTTTTGAACGGGACACATAGAGGCCGTCCTTCGAAACAATTTTTAACTAAGTCTCTAGCCTGGTCAGAAATCAGCTTCAATTTTGCTCGCGCTGAATAGATTTGACTCCTACAAACTACTTTTTGAGGCCAGAGACTCGTCATCGCCCACATCAAAGCTCGCAATATGCTGCCTTTCCGTCTCAAGCCCGAGATCAGTGTTTCACCCGTTTAGCCAAAATGAGACGAAATACGGTAACACATTGGACGACGGCAGACTTTGCCAATCGTGAGACTTGTTCCTTCATAAGGCTTAATGATGCCTTCCGGAAAACTTTGTTGCAGGCGGCCAAAAAGAAATCTAGAAACTTAACCGACCACGGAGAACACTTTCTACGGCAGACGCTGATTGCAAATGTCATGGTGTTTTGTGACAAGTAGAGAATTATGGGAAATGGTAGCTTGGGGAGAAGTGGGGGGAGGGGGTAGGGAAGATGTAAACGGCATATTTAAAACATGTTTTTTGATCTACTGCAGCTTGTTAGGGGATTTTTGTAGTGAAAATATCATTTTCAAAAAAATTGTCAAGTACTGAAGAAGCCTCAAATGAGAATGTTGCTAAAAATCCTAAAGGTACTTTTTTACAAATCCAGACAGAAACAAAATCGACTGCGATTACCCGAATAAGCAAATGTTATGTTTTGACTGCCTCCTGAAATACCACCTAACATTGCATTTATCCCATCAATCCTAAAGCGCATGCAAAGATGGCGGGTATCGTGAATAAGGACTCTTCCTTGAGTCGATTGCAGTTCCATCTTTTCTTAATTCTATTCACTATTTGCATATCCCCCATTATACACTTTGCCTACCCTCCCCCCCCACTCCGCCAAAAAATGCATAACCTTTGTTTTTCTTGGAGTGTTATGGGAGATTGCAAATGTCGAATAACGGAATCCAATACATTTTTAACAGTGTATGTAAGTATCGCAGATTGTTTTACTAGGCTACCTGCATTTTTTCCCCTTTGCAATAGGAAATCATGTCAGGTGCTTCTTAGCATGGGAGCTGAGGTCGATAGCAGGGATAACAAGTTTCGAACACCTCTGATGTGGGCTTCTCAGGGAAACCACACAAAATGTGCCGATATTCTTCTTGACTCCAAAGCTTCTGCTGACCTACAGGATGTCGGTGGTGATACTGCTTTGCATGTAGCGTGTGGTCAGGGTCATCCAGCTATTGTGACTCTACTGTTGGACCATGGTGCATCCTCAACATTGAGAAATAAACATGGTCTTACTTGTTTGGAAGTTGCCGCGAAAGCCGGATCGTGTGATGCCGCCATGGCAATTGCCAAACACAAAAGGTTGGCAGAGTAATTTTCACTCAGTAATACTTAGCTCGAACCAGCTCAATAACAATAACGTTACTACAAATTGCAAATATATTATCTCACCTTTAATTTTGGGATATCTACTTGAAACCCCCCACCCCAAACAAACAAAGAAATGGGTTTGAAGCGCATGAAAGATTCTTTCCACAAAAGTGGTGGAAAGGATACTCCTAACTTAACAGTTGGTAATCCAAAGGAGTTTTCGAAAGGACAAAATAGAGACCTTAAGATACCCCGATATCGGTGTACGGGTACGGATAGTGTACCCGTACACGTAAAATGTTCATGTGCGTGACTATTTCGATTAAGATACCAGAAGAACAAGCACGCAAAATTAACTTTGTACATGCATGTCGCTTAATGCATACAAAATCTCCCTCAAATTCTACACTTCATATCTTAACAACAAGCTGCAACAAATAATTCATTCATACATAAGCTTATTGAAATATCATAGAAAGATTTAAGAAACTTGGCGGGAAGTCCCTCGACCGAAAGCTTGTTATCGCAAACCCCGCCATTTTGATCGAGGCACATCACCAAACAATTCCTTTGATTGTCAACTTCAACAGTGGCTCCCATGCTAAATTTTTCAGTGCTATTTCTTTTGCGAAACTCAAACATTCGAGCAATTCTCAGAAATCCCCCCAAATACGGCCACAAATTGATATCGTTTCAGAGTTCAACCTGCGTATTTGAGGTCCAAAACCAATACATTTTGAAGCGCTTTCATTACAGCTAAAATTCAAATTTGGCAAAAATATTTGAACAGACTTGCAATAACATTTCCAAGGAGTCATACAATTTACATTTGTACTAAAAAAGTCTTAAAAACTTACTCGTTTCTCCATCATGTAGGACTTGCAGCTACCCGTAAATCTTCTACGGGTAAACTGGTGTCTACCCCGGAAAAACGGCTGGTTCTACCGGGTAAGGTCGATGACGTCACCGCAAAATGAAAAAAACATGGCGCTACTCGTTACCCGTACACCGATTTCGGGGTATCTTAAGGTCTCTAATAATAATTAGAAATACACGACAAGAGTCAAACAAGTTAAGGATCACTATTTTCATTTTCCATTCCTGAAATGAAAGTGCCGAGTTTTTCATTTGGTTGGTTTTTTTGTCTCTCGATGAAAAGAAGCGACCCCATTCTCTGCGCCAATATACAGATAGAAAATCATGTTTGCCTAGTCTGGACTGTTGGAGAGTCCAGGTTATGTAATATTTCTAATTAAATAATTTATAATGTTGCTTATGAATACATCGTAATATATGCATTGGGCGGGGGGGAGGGTGGGGGGAAGGAAATGCAGTCATTTCATTTGTTTTTACCTGCAACTTTTTAAGGTGGAAGGAACTTGAGCAATATCAAATATCAAACGGTCAAACTGCAATCTCACTCCTGGTTGAAAACTTCCCAGAAGCAGCTGAAGTTGTTCTCAATCAGTGCGTACGTTCCTCGGATCATCTCAACCCAGCCGACCCAGACTACGCTGTAACTTATGACTTCAAGCACCTAGATCCTGGTCCAGATGCTGACCTGTCGAGTGGAAGGTTTTCTACTGTTCAGATGATGATAAAACACAAGCGCGAACGGCTTCTTCTACATCCTCTTACGCTGAAATTTAATGAGCGAAAGTGGCAGCGTTTAGGAAGATATGTCTTCTTATTCGACTTTGTTACTTATCTCTTGCTTATGGTGCTCTTTACTGTATTTATAGTCTACGATAGGACAGGCCAGACCTTCAGTGAACCACTAAAGCAACAACCATCAAATTTTTACTACGACGACGACGACCCCTTCAAAGGAACTATTCCATTTTTGATCTTGACTTTCTCCTTGCTGCACATATGCAAAGAACTGTTCCAAATCTACGTTCAGCGTTGGAACTACTTCAAGGACCTGTCTAATTACCTGAACTGGACACTGTATATCACTGCAGCCTTGTTTATGGTCCCCTATGTCACAAATCCAGACGTCCTCGACACGTTTTTTGCCGGTACCAAGGATCCCCAGGTACTTTGGAATATTGGAGTTATTGCAATCTTCGTGTGCTACACCAACATGATGCTGTTTCTCAGAAGATATCGCTTGTTTGGCACTTACATCTCAATGTATATCGAAGTGACGAAGACTGTATTCCAAGTTATGGTTGTGTTTATTTTTCTGGTTCTGGGATTTGCATTGGCTTTTTACGTCCTCTTTAAAGAACAGGTAAGTTAGTTCTCGGGTATTGCTTGGTTATCAGTTAATCTTGCGAGGAAAAACAAGAATTGTGTAATTAGTTGATTTAACTATAAAAAAGAAGATAAGAAAGAAACCTTGGGTTTTGGGATCCTGACAAAATGCCCCTTTTCCTTAATAGAGATTTCCCTTCAATAGAGCTTGATACAGAAACAGATACAAAGATTACATGAACATTCTTCCGGGACCAAATTTTGTGTTCCCTGAATAGAGGTGTTCCACCGGAGAGGTTCCACTGTATCAATCATATCCAGGAAGTCTATAAGAAGATGACGTCATTTCAGTTCCACTACGTACTGGTATCCTTTGTTTTGAGGGATCCGAACCCCCTAAGGTTCTTTCGTTAGAAAAATAAACTAGTAGTAATCAAAGATTAATAAGTGCGTTCGAAGTTCAATGAATTTAGCTAAAATCATACAAAAACAGAGGAGGAAATTAGTTGAGAGATTAAATGAGAAAGACGAAGTATTTAAAGAGCAACATGAACAATAGCAACTTTAATAGTGAAACCCAAATATGTAACCAAAGATGTTTATCTACTTAGTTACAATGTAGTTTAGATACTGATTGTGGGAGACTAACTTTTGTAACAGTAACATGAATGATAGTAACTTGAATAGTTACAAGGGATTGGTTAGTTGCAAGGGAAAATGTAACAAAACATGTTAGTCTACTCAGTATCTTGAAAAACTGAAAATGATAGAGTAGATTTTATAACAACAACATGAGGCTATGATGAAGTTCAAAATGCTATGAAAATTAGATTTTTCCATGTCTAAACGTTTCGTGTCTGTGTGTCATAGCATTGTTTAACAATTTTTCTTAACTTAACAGTAACCTGGATGATACTAACTCGATTAGTCACAAGGTAAAATGCAATAATTAAAACATGTCAATCTACTCATTTACAATGTAGTTCAGATACTAAATGAGTGAGACTAATTTTTGTAACGGTAACATGAATAATAGTAAATTGAATAGTTTCAAGAAAGTTATGAAGTTGGTAATGCTATGAAACTTTTTGCAATGTTTAAAAGTTCTGGTGTTTGCATGTCATACCATAGTTTAACAAAAAAATTTTAATAGTAACATGAATAGTAACTTGAATAGTTGCATGGGATTGGTTAGTTGCAAGAGAAAATGTAAAAAAACATGTCAATCTACTCAGTATCTTGAAAAACTGAAAGAGATAGACTAAATTTTATAACAACAACTGGAACATGAAGCTGTGATGAAGTTCAAAATGCTATGAAACTGAGATTTTTTTCCATGTCTAAATATTTCGTGTTTGTGTGTCATAGCATTGTTTAACTATTTTTCTTATCTTAACAGTAACCAGGGCCGGGTTGTTCAAAGCGCGATTAAGCAAACCCAGGGTTAGCGTCAATTTTTATTCCAGTTAAATTAATAACCAAAAGAGATTTTCTTAAGGATTCTTGCTCTTTAGTTTTATTTTTCGATTTGACTTCATGTGCAGCTTATAATTAGCTTTTGAAATCTTTTTAAACAAAAGAGATTAAATCTTTGATTAAGCTTTAATCGTGGGTTAGCAGTAATCGTCTTTTGAACAACTGGGCCCTGGATGATACTAACTCGATTAGTCACAAGGTAAAATGCAATAATTAAAACATGAGAATCTACTCATTTACAATGTAGTTCAGATACTAAATGAGCGAGACTAATTTTTCTAACAGTAACATGAATAATAGTAAATGGAATAGTTTCAAGAAAGTTTAATATGAAATTCAAAAATTAAGTGCTATAAAAGTTTTTGCGATATCTAAAAGTTTTAGTGTTTGTATCTCGTAGCATGAATTATTAGTAACTTAAATAGTTACTAGAGATTGGTTTGTTACAAGGGAAAATGCAACAAAACATGTTAAATGGCAATTTTTTCAATGTCCACAAGTTTTCGCGTTTGCGTGTCAAAGCATACTTTAACTGTGTCTAGGTTTAAGACAGCCTCTGTGATTTCCTCCTCTGTTGTTTCATTTGCAATTAAGTGACAAATTGAAAACAACTTTGGCACTGCTTCTTGATAAACCTGTAGCTGAAGCTTCTGCAGTGGTTGTTTGGAGTTTTGGATATGGATCTTGAGTGTCCACTTTACACTGCAGCTGGTTGCCTTTTGTGTTACTTTGCAGTGTATCGCAGACTGCAATTTTTCCCTTGATTGTAACTTTTTTTGAACATGAACAACAACAGTTGTATTTGGTGACACTGCTTATTCCTAGTATTTCTCCAATGGTTTCTGTTGTTGTTGAGATGTCACTGACTTCAGGTAATGTTTGTTTGAAGGGTTCAGCGTCCTTGATGGTGTATAAATTATCTTGTTTTGGTGTGTTCAAGTATCTTTGATTCTGAGATACTTTCATTCTCAAGTTGTTGAAGAAATAGGTGGACTGTGGTGTGACGCTGTCAACATGCTCACCCCAGAAAATAACTTTTATGTAACCAGATGGATCAACTATATAGCCTTCCTGTTTTTTGACAGGAAAATCTTGGATGACTATAGTTTTGGGTCGCACTTAGATGTGATATCTTTCCTTTTATTGACACTAGCTGTTGTGGTGCTACTTTTGACAAGGATGCAATTGATGTGACATCATCTTGTGCTTTGTATGGAAAATCAGCTGTTGTTGAAGTGATGGTTGTGTTCCTGTTTATTACTACATCACTTCGTCCATACTTATTGCTGATGTTAAAATTTGAAATTTTAACCGGTGATCTTTGTGCGGCCATTGCATCAAGAGTTTCCTTCTTTTCAGTTGCAAAGCATACACTGCCAATGAGATCTTTCTCTGTCTGAAGGTGGCAGTTAAAGTAGCTTGTTGGTCCAGATTTTTTTACTGGTGAGACATTATGCACAAAGCAAGTTATGTCTTGTTTTTCTGTAGGAGGAGGTAAAAAGATATTTAGATTAATGTAATAAATTTGGCATGGATGGGATTACTGCATAAGGTAGCTTGTGTTATTTGAAAAAAACATATGTGTAAATATTAGTCTCCTTGTTTCATGTACTGTAAATCCTCTATTAAGCCCCCAGGGGGCTTATTGTTTTAAGGCGCATTGGGGGCTAAATAGAAAGGAAGGGCTTAATAGAAGGGGAAGTGTTAAAATTTAGCAAAACAGGAGCAGTTCACCACTCATTAATTACTGTAATTAAGATTATTTTTAGTACAAATAACAGTGATATTTTGGCCAAAGTTCGCCACCAACATGCAAGAGGTGTGGGAAAAATAAATTGTATCATATAACTACATGAGAACATTAAAGGGTGACAAAAGTGATAGGAAACAGTGTACATCTAATACCTAGATGTTCAAAATAATATGTTTTATTAATGAGAGCATATAGAGCAGGTAAGGTTATAAAATGATTTTAAAACAAGAAGCATTAGTTTAATAGAAGAAAGGAACGTATAACCATAATATTTAAGTATGACTGGGAGATACATACCTGAAGCCATATTAGATCTCTGTCTTGTCTGTTGAAAAAAAAAAAAAAAAAATAAGGATGTATACAGATGTTTTAGGAGGGTGTTTAAAATACCTTTAAACCCTAGTTAATACAACAGTCTGAAACATTACATGGAACTTTGCTTTAAATGTAGTTGGAAAGTGAACTATTTATAACCATAAAAAAAAATCATTTATGTATGCATGTGTTGAAGGCCGTATAATCAATTTATTCTAATTAATCAATTTTGGGTGCTGTACTGTTGTGAGTGACTTTGTTCGCATCACTCAACTTGGGATCAATTTAGATTTGCTAGATTATATAGCCTGCTTTCTTCTTCAAGTCTATATTTTAAATTAGTGGATTTCTTAAGACTCTTAAGTCTTTCAAAAGTCATTGGTTCAATAATACAAGATGAAAGTGTTTTCACTCTGCTTATAGCTACATATGAAATGCCTGCAGTAGTTTCAGTCTGACCAATGTCAATCCATGCTTTTGGCAGTGTTAACCCTTGGCTCTTGTGTATTGTGATTGCCCAAGCAAGTTTGAGAGGCAACTGTTGTCTCTCATGTAAACCATCTAGTGTCTGTGAGGTTATTGTTATTGGGCATATAGGCACACATCGTGGAATGCTATCACTGATAGATGGACCTCTATACTCATTAAATTTTACTATGACAGCGACAGGCAAGTCTGGTGGTTGCTGGTTGTTTGCATAAATGAAATCTTCAACCGTTCCAGTTGCACCGTTACAAAGTCCAACATCTATCCATAGGTTCATGGTAAGCATTACATGTGCACCTTTTGCAAGGAAAATGGTCGGTTGTAAACCTGACATGTCATCCGAACTTGCTTTCTTAGCTATATCACTAGAGTGACGTGCAGTGATGCAGGCTATTGGCTGATGAAGTTCTGATAACTGTTCAAAGTTATAATTAGCAACTTCTTCATTGCTGAAATAGAGCCTAGTGGCATCTTGAAACTCATTCACGTTCAATGCTATGGAAGGCTGTCTTGCCAAAAGAAGTTTCCAATCTTGCTCATTAGAATCTCCTGTGCGAAGGCGTATGAGTAAATCTCTAAACTGAGCTTCCCTTACCAAAACCACATATATGTTACATATAGCGCCTACATATATATGTGACATATATGTGACATATATGTGAAATATATAACACATATATGTGACATATATGTGTCATATATAACACATGTATGTTACATATATGTCAAATGTAGGTATTTGGAACCCATTTGCAGTTACTTACATATATGTCACACATATGTAGATATATGTGACATATATGTAGTTAATAGCATTGCATATACAGGGCAAATATATGTCACATATATGTGGCATATATTTGAAAAAAATTGATTAGGTACATACCAGCTGCGCCTGCTGTACTTTGAAGTTAATTGTTATAGATATACATGTAGTACTTATATATATCTGCTGATATCTTACATCTTTAATAAATATATTACACCTTTTTTTTTTTCATTGAAATAATTGTATTCTGGTCATAAATTCTTCATATACACTAGCTGTCTTAAAACTGAAAACTTATATAATTCTTACAGACTAGTTACCATTATCACATGACAGACCATTTCAGACAGTCCAACTTCAGTGTGATGCACATCAATCAAAGGAAGCTGTTGACACTGTTTTTCAAATTCAGATTGCATTTCGAACAATTTGGCCAAAAAAGAAGCAGTAAAATTAACAAATAAGCAGATTGAAGATTTCAATCAACATGATAAAAAAATTGTCATTGTATTACAACTTATTTAGACTGCCATTCACATGTTTGTTACCAATTCCAACAACAATCTGATTATCGATAATAAGAGGATTCAACACACACGCATGTACATGCATACATATATATAAGAAAATAATATGTGTTCTTGTATCTTCTAAAAAATCATTTTGTCTTTGATATCCCCCTCCTGCTTGCAGTGCACTTGTCTTGGATTGTTTTTCTCACTTTGGAGATGACATTCCCATCCTTGAACTGGGATTGAACAAATGCTGTAGATTGAGAAGGATTTAAAGCAATCACACAACTGCCAAAGCTTAATATTAAATGCTATATATAGTAGATGTGTTACACATGTTTATAACCTGCATGAACACATGATTAGGACCCCCTTGTTTTCACCAGAACCGAAATTAAACTAACCAAAGAAAGCATGTCTTGTATAATTAGGATTATATGTAATATTCTCATTGATTCAGTAAAATCAAAACAATAACTGATGCCATGAAAATTAAAGCTCATAATGTCATAGCGGTACAGGAGTTTACATCAAAGAGTAGCATATCATTTCCATAATGAACTGAGAGGGGTTGTTTTACTTTAGGGAAGGAGGGAGGAGAATCAATTCATTTCTTCTTCAACAAATACAGTTTGCTACTATATAAAAGAGCTTAATTAATAGATGATTTATACACTGAATGCAAATATGGCCGTCAGGCCTTTTTTTTGTTTAGCCAAGTTTTCATAGAAATTATAATGATTTCACGTGAACAAGTGCCTCTAAGTATATCATCTTAAAAAATTTGAGCTGCAAAGTTATGGCTGACTGAAATTATAAACATTTGTGTGGGAAAAGATAGTCTATATCCTCACTAGCCTCGCTTTCATGTTTTTTCCCAAAATGTGAGTGCCAATACCTTCTTCTTAAATAAGAACATGGCCCTGAAAATACGCACAATGACTTATTTTGACCTGATCTTTATCATTATCCAATTGCTTTTCTTTTCTTGAAAACCTGCCCAGACCAAAAATTCTTGGATGGCCATATTTGCATTTGGTGTATGGTATACATGCAGTCAACTCTCTCAAAGCAGACACCAAATGTAAGGCAAACATATCTCTAAGACAGACGTGGTTGGCTAGTAAGGTGGACAGCTAGAGCTAGTCCAATGGGTGTCCACCTTAAAGAGATTTCATTGTGCAATAATAAAAGCTGGTTTTTTTCCCATGAATCAAGCATAATACATGCACGAAAAACAAGTAGGACAAGTAATGCAATCAAAGAGCATACATGTACCTGTGATGGCTTTAATGATTTGAGGGCACAGCTGTCTGTAGCCCAAGTTGCCCCCTCCTGCCAAGTTTGAAATCATTAAAGTTTTTTTTGTCAAACATGACGTCAATCAAGTATGCTGTCATAGTGCCCACTGATTTTCCTTCTGCCAATGCATTCAGTCGTTGGGTCGGGTACCAGAAAACCCCACTCCCTATGGCCATTTCTTCCATCTAAGTAAAAGAGATACAATAAATGAGTGAAATGTACAGTGAAATGTTCACATCTGTACCTTGAATTCTTCTTCAAGTTTAATAACAAAACCCCAACTTTGGATGAAGAACAGAAAAATTTAACGCACCTATTTAAAGTCTCCCTCACAGAGAATTACATTTCTTCTGGATGACCTATCAAGGGCTGGATTCATGAAGCCCACCTAAACTAAGACATATCCTAAGCATTGTTTATTAACAATAGTCTATTGTGGTTACGACAATAGACTATTGTTAATAAACAATGTTTAGGATTTGTCTTAGTTTAGAGGGCTTCATGAATCCGGCCCCAGAATGTTAAACTTATTACCAATAACATTGTGACTTCATATCAAGCAGATGCACCCTTAGTATTTAGGGAACACTAGGTTTGTAGGTTGTACATGTAGGGTGCTTGAAATAAACAACAAATACATCTGGTAAAACAGCTGCCCTCAAATATACAATTGAACATTAAACTAGGAGTGCTTGTTATTTAAAGCATGCATGTACAGGCATGTGTACCTTGTGTTTTGATGCAATTACTGGAGAAATGACTCCAGCAAGTGGTTTGTTAGTGTCTTCACTATACTGATCTGAAAGAAATTAAACAAAACAGTCCTATAAGAATAGGTACCTGTACCAATGAATCAAAAACATACATACATTACACAACCCTCCATCATTTTCAATGATTGACAATCAAGTAAAAAAAAAATAGTGAATAATAATTAAATTTTAAGTGTGCCAATTAACTGTTATTTTTTTGTAGGATAAAAAATGTTTCTAGTGGCAGTTATATACAAAACATGATAACAATAAACAGTAATTCTAACCATTCAATTTCTGCTCTAATTCCAAAACTTTCTGCTTCAGTGAGGCATTTTCTTGTCTCAAGAGACGGCATTCCTCTCGTCCACACTTGGAGAGGGCAGGCTGAGATCCTAAAAAGAAACATATATTTGTAATTATAAGTACAAGTTTTATGTTTATATTCAGTGAAGGTAAACTTGATCTACACCTGCATACATGTGTGTTCATTCATTATATTCATAACAGCTACAGTCAAACCTGTATAAAGAAAACACTCTCAGGACCCTCACCAAGTCTATATGCCTATATGATGTTTGTTCTTTTGACACAACTCCAAGACCACATTGCATATCAGGTAGAGCAAGTGCAAAATGAATAAAACCATGACATATAACACAGACAATTAATGGACAGATTGCTAGATACCATGCATACTCACTTTGCTCTTGATCAGTTTCATAAAAAAGCTTTCTTGATCCCTTCTCTTTCCTTGATATTGGTACAACTTTAGAAGCACCTTGCAAAACAAAATACATGTATGCATGCATCTGAATAAAATTTACTTCATCATTGGGATCATTAACTTGAGTGTAGAGTACCTTAAGTGTAACTTGAATAAAATTTACTTCATCATGGTAATCTCTAGCTGTTGTTCTACTTCCTTTTAAATTATTGTTACAACTCCAAGACCACTTTGAATATCAAGTAGAATATATGCATGCAAAACAAATAAAATCATGAAACAACAATGGACAGACACTATAGATACTATACTCACTTTGTCCTTGAGCTCCATCTGTCAGATTCCTTGATCCCTTCTCCTTCCTTGATATTGGTACAACTTTAGAAGCACCTTGCAAAACAAAATACATGTATGCATGCATCTGAATAAAATTTACTTCATCATTGGGATCATTAACTTGAGTGTAGAGTCACCTTAAGTGTAACTTGAATAAAATTTACTTCATCATGGTAATCTCTAGCTGTTAATTGTTCTACTTCCTTTTAAATTATTGTTGCAACTCCAAGACCACTTTGAATATCAAGTAGAATATGCATGTAAAACAAATAACATCATGAAACAACAATGGACAGACACTATATAGATACTATACTCACTTTGTCCTTGAGCTCCATCTGTCAGATTCCTTGATCCCTTCTCTTTCCTTGATATTGGTGCAACTTTAGCATCACCTTTCAAAATATACATGTATGCATGCATCTGAATAAAATTTCATCATTGGGATAAAAGTGTAGAGTACCTTAAGTGTAACTTGGAAGGACCTTACAAGTGATAACTGCATGTACTAATCATTTTCACTTTTCTTGGTTGCTTTGAGTTATAATTAAGAAATAGCTAATTAGATCACATTAAAGCACATTATATGTTAAAAGAACACAAGAAGGGCTTGTCAATGATGAGTGCTTTGTTTGGTGAAGGTTGAGATTTTGGTGGCATATTTTCCTTAAACCATTCTGGTTCCTAATTCTCAGTAATATGGATAGTTTTGGATTTGCATGCAAATTTGGAACAGAAATCAGAAAAAAAACATAAGGTTCATCTGTTCAGGTCAAGTAGTAGGAATGCTAACTACAGGTTTTCAACAGCCCAAAACTTAGACATACCCTTCTGAAAAAGTTCCTTTAGCGGTGAGCGGTATGGCACAGTAACTTCCATTCCTACAAAATCATCATCAGCATGCATCTCTTCATCACCTGGGAAGTACTCATCCTCACTGCTGTTTAACGGCTCACTCTCAGAATCAACCATTATTAAGCTTCCAGAATATCCAAGGGATGAGCTATGTGACTGCTGGCTTGGAGATACTTTGGCCTGTTGAAGACTACATGCACGCTCGCTTTCAGAGTCACTCAGCTCTTCGGAACATTCATGGGAAGAGCTACTTATTTGGTTTTTAATTTGGAATGTCTTTGCCTGCTGAAGCCTCTGCTTTAGCAGGGCTTCCTTGCGGCTTTTGCCTTTGCGGCCTTTTTTGGCCTTGGCCTCCATAGATAATTTCTTCCTTTTTTTTTCTTCACATTCGTCTTCACTTTTGTTTACTTCTGGATCGGATTCCGTCTTTCCTTTTTCTGTGCTAGACCAGACATTTGTTCTCTTCCTTTTCCTTTCCCCCCTTTGTCTACTTTGGCTTTTGTCTTAGTTGGCAATTTTTTTTTCTTTTGAGTTCTTCTCTGCTGGACATTTGTCAGATACTCTAGATCTGTAGGATAGCAGACATTTAAAAAGAAAACACTGAAGTCAGACAAATGGAAGAATATCATAGTTATGTCAGATGAATTCTTGGGAGGCTTGAAAAGATTGAGTGTCTTGTGTGGCAAACAGAAACAAGGGAAATGCCAATCATTGCAGGAATTGATTATGCAAATGTCTAGAAATAATATGTCAAATTACATTAATTCAGTGCAACTAAAATTGACATTCCACTACATGGAAGCTCACTAAAAGAAATACTTGACCTGTTTTGACTGTCATGCAACAACTTTTGCAAATTATACCCATCAGTGTTATGTATACTTTTCCAGCTTATAACACCAAATTAAAGGCAAATGAAATCAATGCCATGTTGTTATAATAATTATAATACAAATACAATGTACAGTGAACTATAAAATCCTACTTAGGAAGGCCCTTTGCTCCTTCCTCTCACCCTGGGATTTATCAGTTTGTGTTAATGCATGGCCAGGCCTTTATTTTGTGATGATTTAATTAGTCTTACCTCCAATGTCCACAACAAATGCAGGATACCAGTCCTTGTGATGGGCATCCGTCCACAGTGCATCACAAGATGCTCCTTTTTCAATTTTTTTCACAGTTTCTAATCTCATCAGCACTGACTATATTTTTGATGTTGTCATCCTTGAAGACAACAAGGTAGTGGTCTACGATAAAGAACAAAATATAATAAGACACATCAACGATATTATAATCAATTAATGGCACCAGACAAACCAGTTTGTATGCTGCACACTAAATAATAAGAATGCAATCTTGAAGTTAACATATTGAAATTTCGCAAAGAATCTTGAAGTTGCTCTCAGCTTATATAGTGCGTGGTCAAGAGCTTTGATCCTGAGCCAAATATCAAAGTTGATCGAAAAGAAACTGATCGTTGTTGTTTAAGAATAAACCAGTTACTAATCTATCCAGATCTATCAAAGATGGAATGTATAGCTAAAGAATGAATCATGCATTATTTATTACCTTGACAATGATAAATGAAAAATCGAGGGGTGATCCCAATTTCAAAAGTGCCATCTATACAATTAATCTATCAATCAATAACCAGGCTATGACCAGACTGTAAGCAGTCCCTCTTTTCTTTGCCGTCGATTATTAATTGAGCAAGTCGAAGATATCAACATCAGATAGAAACGAGAAAGAAGCGATTTTGACAGATTTGGCGAACAGTTACATTTGTAAATGAACGCGGCAATATTGAAATGAGTGGAACGAAAGCCTAATTAATGATGATCTTCGGAACGAATTAATCCTTGCACAATATCCGAAACAACTGATATCCTGGAAAATTCTTAGAAATTATTGAGCATGAATGAAAAGTTCGAAATATATATGAGATATGAGGTGAACATATAACGATAAAATTATGCACGTCTTATTCAACCTCTGAAGAGGTTGAAAGGACTACGAGCTGTACGTTGCACGTGTTCTGTCCCCAGCATATATGCGACATTCTTCCCAGCATTTAAAACTACAAAATTGATTGCCAAGCTCCATCGTATAATGCAAAAGCCTAAATTTATTTTATTCAAGCAAAAGATTGCAGTGTATATTTACTAGAAAGAGTTTATATAGGTCGTAGAAGCGTGTTTTTTTTAAACCGCGTTCATTGAACCGCGAAACGCACGCCTGTAATTTAATTAATTCCTATATAAGCATGGGCCGAGCTCTCAAAATCATTGTTTTAGAACAATAATCTTAATTTAGGCACTTACAAGAATTACATTTGGAAGTAAAATGACTTACCAAGATGATCAGTGAAGCGAGAAGGTGCTTTTGTTTTCCTCATAATTGCAGAAATCTACAAGCTGACAAAACCGAACTCGATCCTCTTCAAAACGAACAACGAAAGGAACAACGAAATGAACAAATGAGCGCGAAAACGGCCTCTGTGAAGTTTTCGCGCTCATTTTGTGTAGTCACGTGTTAGGTGTAAGCCAATCAGCAGGGGATTTTGATATGTATTAGATGCCAGTCCACTCTACCTGCAGTCTTTCCTGAGTTGACCATGGAGTCGACGAAACGAAAGAAGAGAGGTCGATACAACTCGCATCGAAGAAACCCTGCTATACCTAAGCCGAAAGCCACTGTTTCCCGACATAACAGGCGAAAAGCAAACTTCTCATCGGATGAAGATGAACAAAGAAAAAAACCGTGTTTCAAGCGAACTGTTGATGTTGTTTTCGAAAATAGTCAAGCATCATCGGACGAATCGGATTTAAACATTACAAATATGTACTTGGCTTCATGTTCTAGTTATCAAGATCTAGACCACGAATTGTCAGACGTTTTGTCGGAATCAACGCATGATGACGACAGTGTAGAAAAACTGGATGCGATTTGGGTGATATCTCAGAAGACGATCGAAGCTCCACATCTTCAGATGACGACCAATTCTGTGCACGTGGAGACAGTTATAATCACATCAGGAGTAAATCGACTGATGAAGAAGACCCTGTATATGTATACCCTGGGTCGCCTCTTTTGTTGTCGGAAAGCATTCTTTTGATTCTTACTTTGGCTGTAGCTCACAATCTGAATGGAAGTTGTCTTTCAGACGTAATTTCTTTGATCAATTTGCACTGCATTCCTGGTCCACTCAACAAGTGTGTCAACTCACTCAGTGAGCTCAAGAGGTACTTTGCTGACTTCGAGCTTCCCATAACAAAACACTTTTACTGCAGTTTTTGCTCTGAGTATCTTGGTGTTTTAAGTGATACTCCTGATGTGTGCTCCATTTGCAACAATGATGTGAGAGATCCAAAGAAGAAGTCATATTTTGTCATCCTTTCTGTCGAAAGTCAGCTAAACGAGCTTATGCAAAGTAAGTAAGAAAATATAATTTTATATGTTGCAGTTTAAAATGATCTTATGTTAAAATGATTTCAAACTAGTTTGATTTGTACTTTTCTTTGTCTTAGGATTATGGTAATCAATCTGGAACAAAAAGAAAATCAAAACTAACCAAGTTTGAAATCATTTTGACCTAAGATTCATTTCAAACTACAACATATACAACAGTGATTGATGTTAAAATGGAATAAATATAAATACTGGCTTAACTACAGCATCATATATTTAGCCACTTTCGATGCTTCCTGGGATAATAGCTAGATATATATATCGCTTAAAATATGCAGTCACCCCTATTGAAGTATAATATTTCCAAATATTTGGTCCTATAATGGGCCAGTAAGATCCATGTGACAAAAAGTTTCAAAGTCTCTGAAAGTTAAGCCTAAAATGATGATTTAGTTTTTAAATGTATATGTAAAAAAAATATTATTGAGTCGGTTTTCACATGATAGCAAAATTATCAAGGTCTCGATTTGTGTTACCCACCTTGGCTGTGGAAATTCTTACTATCTTACTCACCATATGTATTTGAATAAGTGCCCTGTGCGCTTCTTTAATGTTAGGTCCTTTAAGGTCGATGTTTATTCAAGGTGGGCACTTATTCTGATAAATGCAGAAACCTCATCCTGTGGCAATTGAGCTACATCAAATTAATAGCTATAATCTGCTGGTGGTGTCGACTGACACTCAAATCACAGTATTTTGTGATAAAAGAGTGCAGTGATGTTTTATCATTCAACCAGTAAGCTTGATTTTCTTTGTTGTATTTTTTTTGTCATCTGATATTAGGAAGAGAATTTCAGGAAGATATAAAGTACCGCTTTCTGCGAGAGAGAAGACATCCCCTCACAACATTGAGGATGTATATGATGGCCATCTCTACAAGAAGCTGTTTGAAAATAATGGCCCACTTTCTCAGCCAGAGAACTTATCCTTAAAGTTCAATACAGATGGTGTTTCTATCTTCAAATCATCAGGTTCAAGTATTTGGCCAGTGTACTTTGAGATCAATGAGTTGCCACCAAGTAAAAGGTAAAAATTAGAGTAAATTATTATTGGTGAATTGTAAGTGCATCTTATTAAACTTTTGGAATTATCATTGTATTCTCTATTCACAATACTATTTCCGAAAACATTGCAAAAAATTAGTTGCCTTGTTGATGACTGGAATGACACATACTGTACATATACTTAGTTGAACTGAATTACATTGGTTATTTAACAACATTTTTCACTACTATTTTCTGTGATTGTGCCAAACCATTATTTTCATCAAAGGATATTATTATAGAGTTCCGTATCAGACCCTTTTTATTTAAAAACTAACTTTCATTACTCTTACCCTATTGTTCCTTTTTCTAGGCTGGAAAAAAAAAAGCTCTGACTCTGATAAATGTAAATTCGTAAGTGCATTTTAATGTTTTCATGTTTTAATTAATAGGAAACGATTGGAGAACATGCTTTTGGGTGGCCTCTGGTTCAGTGACAAAAAACCTGTGATGTCTACCTTTTTGAAACCTTTCAGAACTTCATTAGAAGACCTTGAAACAAAAGGTACCTGGATACATGGTGTCTCTGAGACAGCTTTATGTTCATGTCTATGTTGTGGCTAACTAAATTTTTTTATGGTTTAAAGTTTGTTTGGCAAGGTTGATTTTTATTTTCCCTGTTTTAAAATGTAGTTATAAATATAAGACAAAGGAAAGTATAGTTTTAAAACTAAAAACAAGTTTCAGCCACAACATATATACACTGTACATGTACTTATATTTAGAGTGTATATAAAATTTTGTATAAAGTTTTCAAGCAAACTGTACTAGGAATAAATGTACGTGATTTCTCCTGGCCAACTTGTATGGTAGTGTATTATACTGACTAGATGCATAATTAAGTTT